AAAAAAAAAAAAAAAAAAAAAAAATGGAAAATAACAAGTGTTGGCAAAGATAGGAAGAAATTGGAACCTTGTGCACTGTTGGTGGGAATGCGGAATGGTGCAGCCACTGTGGAAAACAATAGGATGGTTCCTCAAAAACTTAAAAATAGAATTACTGCATGATCCAGCAATTCCACTCTGTGTATATAACCTCAGAGCATTGAAAGCAGGGACTCAGAGAGAGATTGTAAATCCAAACATTATTCACAATAGCGAAAGCATGGAAGCAACTCAGGTGTCCACTGACAGATGAATGGGTAAACAAATTGTGGTGTACGCATACAATGGCCTGTTATTTAGCCTTAAAAAGGGGAAAAATTCTGACACATGCTACAACATGGATGAACTTTGAGGACATTTTGCTAAGTGAAACTAGTCAGACATGAAAGACAATTACTGTATGACGCCACTTACATGAGATACCTAGAGCCGTCAAATTCATAGAGACAGAAAGTGGAACAGTGGTTGCCAGGGGCTGACGGGAGAGGGGGATGGGGATTTGTTGTTTAATAGGTATAGAGTTTCTATTTTGCCAGGTGAAGAGTTCTGGAGATGAATGGTGGTGATGTTGTCCAACACTGTGCATGTACTCAATGCCACTGAAGCACACACTTTAAAAAGGTTAAGATGGGGGCCGGCCCAGTGGCGCACTGGAGAGTGTGCCGCTTAGGAGCGCGGCGGCACTCCCGCCGAGGGTTCAGATCCCATGTGGAGACCGGTTCCCGCTCACTGGCTGAGCGCGGTGCGGGCGCAACACTGAGGGTTGCGATCCCGTTGCTGGTCCCCAGTATGGGCACGACACCGAGGGTTGCAATCCCGTTACCAGTCAGTAAAAAAGACAAAAAGGAAAAAAAAAGGTTAAGATGGTAAATTTTATGTTATGTGTATTTTACTACAATTTCTAAAAAAGTAAAAAAAAAAAACCCACACACCGAGAAGTTAAAGACATTTGACAGGGTATCTAGGAGTGGCATTGCATGTGCAGTGTGTGTCATCCAGTCACAATCATGACGTTTTAAAGGGACAGGTGACAAATGGAAGTCCAGTGGTGCTAGCATTGTCAGAGCTGGATCTAGAGCAAGGAGATGGGGCTGTATTCCTGTCTCTGTCACTGTGTGACCTTGAGTGAGTTCCTTCCAGTCTCTGGCCTAAAAATCTATTAGAATACTGAGAATAGATGCTTTCTAAGGCCTTTTCCAGCTCTAACAGTTTCGGATTCTGGGAAACTTAAAAGCACTGAAATATCACTGAGCTCAAGAGAAGTAAGTGGCGGGGCAGCTGCGCCACCTGGGCACGTTCTTGATGGGGTCTCTGAGGTCTCTTCATTTCCTACGGACAAGAATCATTCCTATATTTTCGACAAGCTCAGAACTGTAAATAGAGACTCCTTGTTTTGTTTCGCATTGCTTCAGAAAGCGCCAGGTTGGAAATTTTGGGAAAACCCCAGGAAACGCAGGAAGAGCCAAGAAGCCTTGTGAAGGGAGGCGTCTCCCCCTCCTTCGCAGTGTGTTTTTGTTTTGCTTCACCTTCCCCTGGCTTCTGTCTGCTGCCTGCTCTTCCTTCCTCCAGGAAGCCCTCTGGCTGCCAACTGGGCCCCCAGCTGAGAGCTCCAGCAGCGAGGCGAATCCCTTCTCCAGGCTGCTTCCTATTTACCCAATGAAAGAAGCCTTCCTGAGCACACCCAGAGATTCAGATCAAATCAAGGGCCTCTCTGCTTTGTGGGCACTTCATATTGGAAGAAACCTTGCAAAGGCCGATTCAGAAGCAAATTGAATATAAAGCAAGGCCTTTGTTAGCCTTCTCCTTGGAGCTCAGGCTGGGGAGTTGTACACTCACATCAGGGTACACCTCGATTGGGGTACCCTATAGCATGGTACACCCATAAGGGGAACACCCATAGTGTGGTACACCCGAGTTGCAATAACACCACAGGGGCAGATGTGGATATTGTGCCAAAGCAGAATCCTTGGAGGTTTTCTTGCTTCTCTCCTTGCTGTAGGGCTGTAAACTTGAAAAGGGCCTAACAGTTTCAGGCTGGGGCAGGAATGAGCTCCTGGTAACAGCAAGCGCATGGCAGGAGGCTGCACTACCGCTTTTGACCACCATAGTGCAGTGACAACAGTGCTGGGTGCTTAGAGAACCCGCCGGCCACATAATTCAGAGTACAGTGAAAATGTTAGCCTCTTTAAGAATTTTAAGACAGCAGCAGCAGAGCATTAAGCCAAGCATTTGGGGCCCTTCTAAGCACCAGGCCCTGTGCTACTGCACAGGTCCCACATGTATAATGCTGGCCCTGGGGCCTCAGGACTTAGCCCAGCCTTCAAGCTAGTGGGGACCTGAGAGAAGCCAACTCTGCCATCAGACAGGTGCTGACAATGCTCAGGATGGGGCTGCTACAGCCAGGTGTTCCTTAGCTAACTCCTGCCTGCTTGCCTACTCTTTTTTTGCAATGTCCTGCTTACTCTATGCAGAATACCTGGAAAAATTATATTTTCAGAGAAAGCCACTGGGTTATAGTTTCTGCAAAAGAAGGTGTATGGTTTCACAGTTGTTGGGCAATTTATCTCAGGAAGGGGGGTAGCCCCTTCAGCAAACAAGCAGAGGGAATCCAAGCTCTGCAAATTTAGCTTTAGCTAAGGCTTCTCATTTGCTCCTAAAATACCCAGCCACCCTTCATTTTTATATTAAAGCAGCCAGCATGTTCCAAAATGTTTACAGGCACCTGGAAAAGAAGAGTGGCCCAGAACTGACTCCTAAGGTCCTGGCCAATGTTTACAATTCTGCGTGTAAGAGCCACAGGGTCAGGCTGGGGAAAGCCCTGGGGGGACTTGGAAGTCTGACCTGCTGTGTGACTCTAGGACCCATTTCCTGCCCCTCTCTGGTCTTCAGCTCCTATGCCCACTCCTGTAAAACGAGGGCATAAAAGAGTGGTGTGTCCCCCTGCCCCATCCAGCTCTAACCCTCTACCTTCACCTGCAGAAAGTATGTTTGTGAGACAGATCAGGCTAATGAGTCATTAATTGGGAAACAAAGGTGTTCCATCTGATTGACAAGCTAAGTAGGAGCAGGTACCGACCACTCTTTTGAATGAAGGACTAGCACATCCTGCATGTTCTCACTGGAAAGGGAGGGAGCTAAAGTCTGCAAAGCTCCTAGGTGAATCCTGCTACACTCCCTTACAAACTTAGCATGTTACTACCTGCAGAGTGCTTTCTTCCTGGTCCCTTCCTGCATGAGAGTGGGCTTGAAAAAGGGAAAATGCAGTCCAGGTCCTTCCCTGATGGGCTCTGGGATCTCGGGCAAGTCCCAAATCCCTGTGGGTCTCCTGTTTCCCAAGTGCACAGAGAGGGGGTTGGATGGGCCATTAAGGAGCAGGTCAGTTCTAGAACAAATTTTATGATTCTCTGAGTTCCAAGTAAATGTCACATAAGGAGGTTGTCTAGCAGCAACAGGTATTTTCTGTGCCCAAAGTCCTTTTCTGAGGAATTAATGTCTGTGGAGAAAAAGGGCCTGAATGGCCTGATGGGAACTTCTGGTCTCTCACTATTTCACATCTCTCACTCTGCTGCTGCCTCTTGAGAGGTACCCATGGAAACCCAGGGAGTTGGTCCCAGCACGTACCCTTCTCTTTGGTAATCTTCGTCCAGATTTGACAGGAGCTGCGAGCCCGCCGTGGAGAGGTCGACGGCGGCCAGGGGCAAGTCCCGATAGGCAAAGTTCACCAGCTGCACGGGAGCAATGCTCTTGGTTTCTTCGTCTACTTGTTGGGAGATGATCTCAACTTCGGAAATTCCTCCTTCTATGGCAGGCCTGAGTTGGAAAGAAGGAACAGCAGAGAAGAGTTCCCCTAAGAACAAAATAATTCTTCCATTCCTTAAAGAAAGGAGGGAGAATGTACCAGAACCTATGCTGTGCTAGTGGACAGCTGGGGAAGCACGACTTCGGAAATTCCTCCTTCTATGGCAGGCCTGAGTTGGAAAGAAGGAACAGCAGAGAAGAGTTACCCCTAAGAACAAAATAATTCTTCCATTCCTTAAAGAAAGGAGGGAGAATGTACCAGAACCTATGCTGTGCTAGTGGACAGCTGGGGAAGCACGACGCTGTTACTCTTCCCTAACAGCCTTCCCAGCCACCAAGGACGGGACTGAGGCTGTAACCGGTCCCACCTCCTTTAGGGGTTGGGGAAAAGTAGAAGAATGGGGAGAGGAATCACTCAGATATGAAAAGAAGAGCTTTTGGAGAAGGGTCCTTCATTAGGAGGAGGGAAAGCCCAGATGATAACTCTGCCAACAAGCAAAAACCATGGCTCAGACTTTTAGGATTCTGGGTCACTGGACTTTACATTGGAGTAATACATTCTTTTAATTTGTCTCCTGGGTTTCTTTGTGAAGGTCTTTTGAAATATTTCTAACATCTCTACCACAATAGAGAAAAGAGGTTTTTGTTCACAACTGGATGTACTGCTGGTGGCTAGGAAGCCTACCTGGAGATCTGGGGAGACCTAGTGGGTCCTGGGGTAGTGAGGACAGGAGGGGCCAGCTGTCCCAGGTTGCCACATCCTTTCTGCTTGAACTGGTCCTATTATATTGTCCTTTTTAAGGTTGGGAGTAGGAAATGGGGGTCATTTGATCAAATGTCTGAGGAGTTGTGGGTCTCCTCCTATGTTCCTGCCTGGCTTACCCGGGGCCCTGCAAATAAGTGACAACTCCATTGGCATCACAGGGCATCTCGGCCAGGGGCAGCACCACCTCCCAACCCACCAGGGGATAGCTGACAACTTGTGGAGGCATTTTTAATTGCCGCAATGACCACAGATGGTCACTACAGACATTTAAGAAGGGGCGGGGACATGATACACCTGCAATGTGTCTTAACTAAGAACTGTCCTGCCCATACACCAACACCGCTGAGAGATGCTGCACTAGATAACTTTGCTTTACCTTCCTGCGGTGCCATCCTGGTCCCTCCAACACATCCTCGACCCTATCTCATCCTATAAAATCTGAGGGGCTGGGTCTTGTGCTTCTAGCCAAACAATGAGGGTTAGAAAGGAAAATGGTATGAATGGAGAGGAGCAAAAATTAAATATCTGAGGGAACACTGAGGGTCAGTAGCCAAGGTAATGACAGGCCAGTCCGAACACTGCCATGCAGTCCAGTCTGCTGTAAACTCATCCTGGGCTCTGGGGCCGGCTCGAATGCCAACTGCTGTGGGGATGCTCCTGGGCCTCAGTTTCTCTAGTTGAAATATGAAGAGGTGAAACAGAGGATTCCTAAGAACCATTCCTTCTCTATGATCTGATATGGATAAGAAAAATATGGAGGTCAGAAGAGCTCTGGAGTGACAAGTCCCTACACCTGGGTGGAGAGTTCTAAACAATAAATTTTTCTTTTCCAACAGCTATTGAAATCTAACCAATAATACACAGCAGCAGTTATCCAAGAAGTTCAGAGCTAAAGCTACCTACTTCTCTTTTGTTTAGATCATCCAGAAAATTGAGGGAAAACTGGGTTTTTCTTGGAATGCTATAGATTGACTGTCTAGACTATCTGAATTCACCGAGTACCTTCCAATGCCTCAATTCTCTTTTGTAGGCCTTATTTAAACCTTTGCTTTTTTACTACTTGTCAAGCACAGATAATAGTACTTATCATTTCGTGACATAAAATGACTCAAGATCTTAGATGGAACAGTCATAGGATGTGAGGCTTCTATGTTTCTCAACAATCGATATAAAAGTGTGGGTGTTTATGGGGGGAACCCCAGTTCCTCCAAATGTTTCCCAAAAAGTAGATGCAGGGTTGAATTTGTTCTCTTTTCTTTTGGACTACTCAGGGAAACTATGGGTTGATTGCTGAACTGAACAAATAGAATTTCCTGATCAATGCAGTGTTCATGGAGGACTAGGGTAAGTTTCCAAAACTAACAGGATATGGCTCTGAGAAGCATGGAAAAAACTGTTTCTGCCTTCCTAACTTTCCTCTCCTCCGCTGCCCTGCCAATGTTCATAGTGGCCCAGCACCATCTCTGGCCACGTGGTCATCTCAGCAGAGACACAGGCCTCCTTGGTGGGAGTGAAGGTCCCACAGTCCATAGCATAAGTACTAAGACTACACGCTAGTCTTGGACATGAAGAACAGTGTGGCAGACAAAATGTATTAATGCCTCCTTTCTTTACCTCTCTTTGTACCCCACCTTTTGCCATGTGACTTTGCAGCTCCTCCCATCAAAAGGAAGAGTATATTTCCCTAACCCTTGATTCGGTGTTCAGTCATGTGACTTGTTTTGGCCAATGGAATGTCAGCAGACATGACATGGGCAGAGGCATGAAAAGGCACTTGTAAATATCTGCTTGTGCTCCCGCACCTCCAACATCACCATTAGAAGGTGACTAGCCTAGGCTACTGGAGGATGGAGACACACAGAGCAGAGTCCAGTCTCACTTAGATCAGCTGACAGCCAGCCCAGCCCCACATCTAAGAGTGATCCCAGCCATGATCAGAAGAGCGATCTAGCTGACAACGGCTATAACATGTGCAATAAACGTGCGCCATAAACACTTATTGCTGTATTCTACTGAGGTTCTATGGTTGTTTGTTACACAGCTTTACTGTGGCAACAGATCACAATTCATCCTCCATATGACAGAGCAGCAAGGCCCATAACTAGAGAGGCCAGGACAGTGGGTATAATAGAAGGAGTGCCATTCTCATCTTAGAATTTTTACCAACCAGTTGCAAAACACAAAATAAGTGACCGCCTTGCAGGTGCTTGGTAAGATTATGTGGTTGTACACGTGGTGTCTTAGGTTTGGGGAACTGAAAGTGATTCTCCCCTAAGAGTTCTGCCCCTATTTTCATAAAGCTAGCTTTTAGAAACCCTCTCATGATTTCTAAATTTTCTTGCAATTCCTATCATATTAATTCGCCTTAAGCACTTCTCCTAATCTTGCCTTGAGGCTTGCTTTAGAAAGGTTTCCCCATTTTCTGTGGCCTCCTGATAAGGGAAATATATGTAATAGTTGTCTGCATTAGAAAATCTTTGTCTCGTGGGAGATTTATAGCAACAGCTCTGGATCCAGAGAACAAATCCCAACGTTACTTACTGTGGATTGGTCATGTTGAAAGATGCAACCAGAGCTATGGGTTTTCTTAGTGTCTAGTGGGGCTCAGCTGTCCTGAAGCCTGCTGTCAGCATTTCCATGCATGGGTTCTAAACGACACATACAAATATAGTGACCTGAAAACAAAAACAGAAATTTATTACCTTCAGTTGCCAAACCAATGTCCTCCTAAGCTCATCTAAAAATGGGAGCCCTTGGGCTGGCCGGGTGGCGCACTGCTACAGTGCGCCGCTTGGGAGCGCGGCGGCGCTTCCGCCGAGGGTTCGGATCCCACATATAGACCAGTTCCTGCTCACTGGCTGAGCGAGGCGTGGGAGCAACACCGAGGGTTGCGATCCCGTTTCCGGTCCCGGTCCGGTGCAGGCGCGACACTGAGGGTTGCGATCCGTTGCCGGACACGAAAAAAGACAAAAAGGAAAAAATAAATAAATAAAAAATAAAAATGGGAGCCCTTACAACTTTCTTCCATATAGCAATCGTCTCAAAGTAATGTTGAATAGATTCTTACAATCACCCTATGAGGTGTAACAATAGGTATAATTTCTCTCTTTTTTGGAGATGATGGAACAGGACCAGTGTGACAAAGTGACTTTTCTGTGTCACACAGAAATAGCAGAAGGTCCAGGTTAGACCCTAACTTCTGACTTCTCATCTGTAGCTCTTTCCACTAAACTGCCATGCCTGCAAAAAGCAGCATAACTTTAAACTTCAGCTTTAGAAACCTCAAAAATAAGGTTTGTCTCAAAAATCTCAAGTGTTTTCCCACATCCAGTCACACATTGCTTAATGACAGGGATATACTCTGAGAAATGCATCATTGGGCGATTTTGTCATTGTGTAAACATCATGAAGTGTCTTACACAAACCTAGATGGTATAGTCTATACACACCTAGGCTATATGGTAGGTCCATTAGAATCTTATGGGACCACCGTCATAAATGTGGCCCATCTTTGATGGAAACCTCGCTATGCGGTGCATGACCGTATTTCTTTCTCCCACTTTCCTTCCCCTTCTAGTAGTTCTGTCTCTCTATTCTCTTCTCCTCTTCTCGCTTGGGTCTCTCGATGACAAAGCAGCAGAACAGCTAAAAGGATGGACCCTGGCGCCAGGCTGCCTAAGGTCAGAACGTGGCTCCCATAAACTACTCTTGTGACCTTACTTACACACCATCCTCAGTTTCCCCATCTATAACAGAACTAAATGAGGTAATGCATGTAAGACTCAGAACAGTTCCTGGCACACAGTAAGTGCTCATAAGTTTTGGCTTTTGGTATCATAATTATTCTTTCTTATAAATAAAAATTGCACAGTCTGTTGAATCTGAGCACATTCCAAAGCCTTTGGATGGCTGAATATAAGATTTCCTCTTAAAATTTGGACTGCATAAATAGAACATATTTTTCTATCAACCCATGCTATAGTGCCACCTAGAAGTCTTCTGGGAGACAGTACAATCCAGTAGGAGGTACATAAAAACACAGACCAAGGTTCGAGTGATGTTGAGCAAGTTATTAGGGAAGCTATTCAAAGAGGCAATCCTTTTGTAAGTTGCATTCCCCTGTAAACTGCTGCTTCTTCAAGAAACCAATGCAGGATAAAACCTGCTCCCCCAAACCTGAAGCTCAGCTCTGCGGGGCAGCTGAACTTAGAGAGACAAAGGGGAGGACTGTTACTTCATGCAAAAGGAAAATCCACTCCCAGGGTGAGGAGTATCAGGGGATAGATGGCAAATCTGCAAAGTAAGTGCTGTGTAATTAAGAAAAGAGAGAGCTCAAGTTAAAGAAATTTGAGAAAGTCCTGGGAAAGTCTGAACTTAGAGCAACTGGAAATAAAAGAGACGGAGAACTCTCTAAAATTAGAATGGAGCCGCCAACTATTTCCACACCAGATGTTTGCAGGGGCAAAAAAGAGGAGGGGGCAAAGGGTTGGGACAACACTGGGGAGAATTTGGACAGATGTTTTGTAACCACCCCTTACTAAGGGTTTTTCACCTTACCTTAGTATACCTTAGTAGGAGGATCTAAACATTAGAAACAGAACTCTCTTCTTTAGTATTTTGGATTGCCTATTAACTGCATAGTAAACTTTATAAAATTCTCCATTCCTTAGCGCAGGTTTAATCAATCTCAAAATTTTTTTGTGTGTTCATTATACAGCCTCAAGTTAACAGTCCTCACAGTATTCAGACTGATCACATGAATTACATAACCTCAACTGGCAATGGAGACAGGATAGAGGCACCCACAGATGGGAGGCCAGGTGAGCAATACCCCCTTCCAGAATGATATTTCAACAAGCTGTATTCCCCAATGGGTATTTTACATGCTACACAAGACATTAGCCCTATGAAGGACACAGAGAAAGGTCCTTACTTTCATGGGCCCTTCAGTATGGCTGGGCAGGCAAGTTTAAAACATATAAAACTCCTAACTTTTGGCATACCCCTAGTAATGACGAGCAAGTAAAAATTGATAAATTTCCAGAATCTATATTTATAAATAATAAACATGAGCTGCAGCACTAATATATTATGGCCAATATAAAACCATGCAAAACAAATAGAAATGAAAATGATAAAAATTTTTTGAAATTTACGAGCAAGTAAAAATTGATAAATTTCCAGAATCTATATTTATAAATAATAAACATGAGCTGTAGCACTAATATATTATGGCCAATATAAAACCATGCAAAACAAATAGAAATGAAAATGATAAAAATTTTTTGAAATTTAAAAAAAAAAATTGACTTTCTAGGGAGGAAAATTTCAAATATATACAATTACAGAGAATCATATAATGGACCTCCAGGTACCCACCACCCAACTTCAACAGTCATCAGCTCAAGGACATTCTTGTTTCCTCTGTATCCCTGCCCACTGCCCACCCTTCATGATTATTTTGAAATAAATCCTAGATGTCTTTTCGTTCATCTGTAAATGTTTCCATTTGTAGCTCTAAGGATAAGGAGAAAGAGGATCACCTTTTAAAAGACATAATCACAAACTATTTATCACACCCAAGTCAACAATATTTTCTTAGTATCATTAAATATCAAAGCATTGCTCACATTTCACTGTTTGTCCTGTAATTTTTTTAAGGTTTGTTGAATCAGGAGCCAAACAAGGTCCACACATTATGGCCAGTTAATATGACTCTCGAGTCTCATTTAATCTATATATTTCCCCTCTATCTCATTTTTTCCATGCAATTTATTGGAAAAACTGGGTCATTTGTCTCATAAAGTTTCCCACAGTCTGAATTATGGTGATTGTATCCCTTTAGTGGTGTTTAACATGTTCCTCTATCCCCTATATTTCCTGTAAATTTTAATTAGTCCATAGACTTTACTCAGATTCAGGTTCAATTTTTTTTTTTTTTTGTCTTTTTGTCTTTTTCCGTGTCCGGCAACGGATTGCAACTCTCAGTGTCGCGCCCGTACCAGACCGGGGACCGGCAATGGGATTGCAACCCTCGGTGCTGCTCCCGCGCCTCACTCAGCCAGTGAGCGGGAACCGGTCTGTATGTGGGATCCGAACCCTCGGGCGGGAGCACCGCTGCGCTTCCCAAGTGGCGCACTTATCCAGTGCGCCACCGGGCTGGCCCGGGTTCAATTTTTTTTATAAGATTTCACAGGTGCTGTCATAATTTCTATTAGGAGACACGTAATACCTTCTTTTCCTTCTTTTTTTGATTTTTTTTTTTTTTTTTTTTGGCAGCTGCCCAGTACAGGGATCCAACCCTTGATCTTGGTGTTATAACACCACACTCTAACCAACTGAGCTAACTG